GGGGTTGGTCTGTGAGGGGGTGTGTCCCCTCCCATGTTTTGGAGCTTTTTTAAGAAAGAGGTCATTATTCATGCAATTTTAAGCTAATAAAATGTTAATTCTATAAGAAATTTGGTGTGCATTTTTCTGTGTATATTCACCATTGTGATGTAATTTTTATATTATAATTCTGTGTAATTACAAGAACAATATTATAACCACCATAAATCGTAAGCTAGTTTTTTATCATTAATCCACTCGTGTGAACATTTTGTAGTTGAATCCCCGCGTTTTACCGTGATAGGATCGCCCTTGGAAATTTGATTGCATTTAAACCATGACAAAAGTAAAAGTTATGCATGTGCGGGTTATACATATCAACGTTTTCAAACAATGCAGGAAATGCCGACACTAAAATGTCTTTCCCATCCTGTACTGACCGTATATTTATTTTTTTCGATCCATCGGCATCATTCTGTGAGGATTTCAACTTGGTGCCTACATTCAAATCGGACGAAGTTGAGCTCTGTGGATTCGTTTCCACGGCGACATCGTCACATTGCTGATTGCTGGTCATTTCTGGAGTCACCGGCGATGAGTTAGCAAGACCGTCAGCTTCAGTTTGGTTGCACGATTCAAACGACTGAACAATTTCTTGATCGTTTACTGTTCATGCTGGTTCGACGATGCTTTCTTCCGAGTAGACGATTTGTTTGACAAAATGTTGAATAAACTTAAAAAGAGAGGGCATAAAGCCTTAGAAAACCAGAGGTCACGTTGGTCAGAATGGAGGTAATAATGACGTCGTGCACATGTGAATGTAATTAACATATCCGAACAACGCCGAAAGCCTTCGTGCGTCGGGTACGCACAACGTCAAACCCTGAAGTACGTTACATTTTCAGCGAACGTCTGCAGATTTCCTCGTGTCGCTTTGCAAAAAGACTGTTGTAGCTTTGAATGCGTGAATTCGTTTTTTAAAACTGTTAAAAGTATTAAATACGCTACGATTCCGTGTATACAGAATATATTTTTAGAAATTTTTAATTTGTTGTTTTATAATGAAAAAATAGCCGGTATTTTCACCAGAGTAGGCGGTCGTTTTGACCGGCTACCGGCTTATATCTACATCACTGGGAGATGGCATGGAGTCATTTTGGCACTGTGATGTAATATCGCGCCGTTCAAGTCTTTTGCACGACGTTTTGCTGGGAGCCATTACAATTCTAAGTCGTCAATGGGGGCGGGGCATTAACATGAGATCAACATATATTATATTCGTATCCAATTATTCAATTTCGAGGATCTGCTAGTCATTTTCGAATATCAAATTATTAATGTTGAAAATGCACATATTTATGAAACGTGATGAATACATGACAAACAGTCTCCTGATGTCGGTCGCAAAAAAATGACCCACTAGATCTGGGTGTCTGCCGAGCTCGGCCGGCTGTACAACTCGGCCAGTAGTTGAAGTCGGCCGGTTTGTGTGGGTTTTATGGTCTGTGAGGGTTGTTGATTTCAGGCATATCACAGTAAAAAATAAATACTGAAGGATGTTGTTGATATCAGTGATGCGGCAGTGCTGTGTCATTTCACAGTAAAAAAATACTGTGCGATACATGGGCGACCCGCATTATTTGTGTTGTTCTTACATAGCAGAGCCATGTGTTTCCATGTATTGCCAATATCCTTTTGTAAACTTTTTGTAAAAAGTCACGGGAATTATTGAAATCAACAACATGTCAGAGAACAGTAGCGTTGCTGAGTGTGTTGTGTGGCATATAGTTTCTTTATTTTTTGTAAACTTGTGTCACTGACCACTTCACACTTCGGCAATTACAACTGACCGAGCTCGAATATTTTTATCTGGCCGAGTTAGAATCTGGCCGAGATCAACTGTATCCATAGATCTGCGTGGCATTGTATTCACAGTCTACAGCTGAGTTTGTTATGGTTATGTGCTACAGGCTTGAATGAGCTTGTAACTACAAACCAGGCTGATTTTTTGATGATGATAATAGGGGTACTGTACTTGGTTCAGGATTATCAAGTCGGACTGGTGTCAGTTCCTGGATGTTGAAGGACCAGAATTTTGGCTGCAGTTGGCAGCCTTCAGTGATATGTCATTCACATAAGCCATTTACACTAACATCATTTTCTCATGCCATGACTTTCCTCATTTTTACAATGTTTCACTTTAATTTTTTCTATTTTTCCTTCTCTTTTATTAGGAATCAAGTAATTTGAATATCTTGAAAGAGAGTCTCAATAAAAGCAATCAGTTGACAAATAATATGGTAAGTATCTTTAGCACAATGTAACAAGTCACAATCTTGTCTGCAGTCGTTATATGTGGTAGATCTTAGTATATTTCACAGAAAGTTATGTACATCTGAAACATTTCCAGTATTAAGCAGGGTTTCAACATACAATATAATATTGAAACTGCCTCTAACTAGTGAATATAAACCCATAATTAAGCCTTAATTTCAAAATAATGAAAGTTGAATCTTAATTTCATGTTTTTGTCTTCAGGTATCTATTCTAACTTCATTTGAAAACCGTCTACAAAAATTGGAAGCTACCATTATTCCTGTTCACAGAGAAACAATTAATCTTCAACAATTACAAGAAAGTATCCTTTGTTATCTATTCCATAGATGAATTGTGGATACACCCAGTCTCATTGTCTCATCTCACTGACAGTAACCACCTAGTCTCATTGACTCATCTCACTGACAGTAACCACCTAGTCTCATTGATTCGTCTCACTGACAGTAACCACCAGTCTCATTGACTCATCTCACTAACAGTAACCACCAGTCTCATTGGCTCATCCCACTGACAGCAACCACCCAGTCTCATTGACTCATCTCACTGACAGTAACCACCAGTCTCATTGACTCATCTCACTAACAGTAACCACCAGTCTCATTGACTCATCTCACTGACAGTAACCACCCAGTCTCATTGACTCATCTCACTGACAGTAACCACCCAGTCTCATTGACTCATCTCACTGACAGTAACCACCCAGTCTCATTGACTCATCTCACTGACAGTAACCACCAGTCTCATTGACTCATCTCACTGACAGTAACCACCCAGTCTCCTCAGGGACAGTTATGTACAATAATGTTCAGTTTATGATTATTAATTTATTTGCAATAATAATCAGACTTGTATGACTTGGTGCTTTAAATACTGGTCAATAATTGCCATGAGATAATAACAAATTATTGTATTATAATATATGGAGATTATTGTCTTGCCATATTCTGAATACCGAATAGTTACATTTTTTAACCATGATTCAAGATGTCGAAAAAACTCTGTCATCATTTGACCATGTCATCAATTATTATGATGTTGCCAGAGAAGTGGAAGGGACTATCAGAGAAGGGTGAGTAGGTTGTTGTGGAAGGGACTATTAGGGAAGGGTTAGTAGGTGGTTGTGGAAGGGACTATTGTGGTAGGGTGAGGAGGTGGTTGTGGAAGGGACTATTAGGGAAGGGTGAGTAGGTAATTGTGGAAGGGACTATTAGGGTAGGGTGAGTAGGTGGTTGTGGAAGGGACTATCAGAGAAGGGTGAGTAGGTTGTTGTGGAAGGGACTAATAGGGAACGGTGAGTAGGTAATTGTGGAAGGGACTATTAGGGTAGGGTGAGTAGGTGGTTGTGGAAGGGACTATCAGAGAAGGGTGAGTAGGTTGTTGTGGAAGGGACTATAGGGAAGGGTGAGTAGGTGGTTGTGGAAGGGACTATTGGGGTAGGGTGAGTAGGTGGTTGTGGAAGGGACTATTAGGGTAGGGTGAGTAGGTGGTTGTGGAAGGGACTATCAGGGAAGGTTGAGTAGGTGGTTGTGGAAGGGACTATCAGGGAAGGGTGAGTAGGTGGTTGTGGAAGGGACTATTAGGGTAGGTTGAGTAGGTGGTTGTGGAAGGGACTATCAGGGAAGGGTGAGTAGGTGGTTGTGGAAGGGACTATCAGGGAAGGGTGAGTAGGTGGTTGTGGAAGGGACTATCAGGGAAGGGTGAGTATGTGGTTGTGGAAGGGACTATCAGGGAAGGGTGAGTAGGTGGTTGTGGAAGGGACTATTAGGGAAGGTTGAGTAGGTGGTTGTGGAAGGGACTATTAGGGAAGGTTGAGTAGGTGGTTGTGGAAGGGACTATTAGGGTAGGGTTAGTAGGTGGTTGTGGAAGGGACTATTAGGGAAGGTTGAGTAGGTGGTTGTGGAAGGGACTATCAGGGAAGGGTGAGTAGGTGGTTGTGGAAGGGACCATTAGGAAAAGGGTGAGTAGGTGGTTGATTGTAAACTAGTGATGGGATGCTCTTCCATGATTATCACTTATGTTGGGCTTCACAGGTATTCATTTATTGTAGGGTATTCTTTTATATCCTGAGAAATAATAGAGTGGGTCAAATCCATAAACTGTCATTTATTTACTAAATATGTATGCAGGATTGTCTTTGTTGGACATAGGCCGAAACATGAACCTGTGTGTCAGGCTACGTCCATCTGTTCATCTTCCTGTTCTGATTTTGTTCAAAGTTTGATACAGAGATGGTATACATGCACTGTATTTGCTCTATTAGTAGCACATGTGGTTAAGTAAATGACAAATGTGAGTCAATGATCAAAATAACATGTCTCAGGCATGTCTTAGTTTTATTCAAATGTGACATGTTGACATTAGTCATTGCAGGGTTTATTTTTATGTATATCCTACCATTTTCTCAGATACGATTTCAATGAATTTGTTTTATACAAAGCAAAGACATAATGGATTGCATATTCTCTTCAGTTTCTGTTTTTTGATGAACTTTAACTGGTTGGTGTCAGTTTTTGTTTAAAAAAAATCACAAGATTTGAATATGGTGGCACTGTTGGTTTTATTTTATTTTGTTCATAACCATTTCTTGAAAATGTCTTGACATATTTTTGTTCACAATTGATACAAAGACATAGTGTTGTTTCCTCAAATGTTATTACTTTAGCCAAATATAAATAGAGGCTATGGAACTTTGAATCAAAATTATTTGAAATTTTGTTATTTATAATTAAATTTGAAAACTTTTGGCCCTGTCAAATTGTTAAAGTGTAATTAATTAATTAATTAATTAATAAAAAGTGCAAAATAAATATGTGGTCAAATAATGTTCCATTAATGTATAATTAATATATTTTGTTTATTTGAATAAATTGATTTTTATTTCTCCGACTTTAGTATTCAAATTTATCACCATCAGGAGGGACAGACATTTTCGGGTAGTTTCCGTCGTATTCAAGTTTGTACTACTGAGTATGTTACTGCACAATGCATTATGGGAATTAACTTCCTATTGTATATTGAAAAAAAAATAGTATCACCCTGGAAACTGTTACCGTACCCACTTTAATAATTATATGTAAATTTTTTGAAAAGCTTTCCCAATATTAGAATTTATGTCAATAATAATATATCACTTTGTTATCCCATGGTATTGAGCAAAATTTTGAGATATGAATAAATAGCATCACCATAGAAACCAGTGTAAAAGTGCTAGTTTTGACCAATTTTTTATGACATTTTAGATTCCTGTATCTTGCTAATTGTCAAGTGACACAAATTTTGTTTCATTTTCAGTATCCTGATGACATGAACCCATAATAATGAAAACTTAATGAACATTACATATAATCTTTAATTTGGGCTGAACCTCTTTAATACACCTCATTCAATTACTTACCATCTGAATTTTCAGCATGTATTGTATTGCACCTTTCCATTCTTTTTTTCTTTTGAATATAGTCCTAGTGGTAATATACAGAAGTATATAGAGTGTATGGCAAGGGTCGAGGATGCTGTAGCTTTCTTTAAAGAGAATAATCCTAGTAGTCCAGAGTTACATACAGCGGTGAGTTCTATATGTACAATTCAATAATCTTTGAATATGAATTTGAATATGCATGCTATTTTTGGTGAAATTATGTTTTTTCTTTTTTAATGTGTTGAAAATGAGATGTACCAATAAATTTATCTTGCCTATCAAACTATATAATTATGACACAAGATATAACAACCCAGTCTCATTGATTCATCTCACTGACAGTAACCACCCATACGATAAGCCTATATACATTAAATATAACTTTGGTGATAATGATAATAACAAGTTTTTATTTTATTCTAGATGTCTCTCTTTGAGACTGGTAAAGAAGGCTTGGAGAGGGAATTTCGTACATTACTAACCAGACACAGTAAACCAGTGCCGCCAGTCTCTATATTAGATATGTT